AAAGCAATTCTTAAGCACTTAGCTTAACTCAAAACAAATCACTACTCACGCCATCTAAGCTTGCAAGACACGTCTATCGCATCCAACATGGCCCCGTCCACTATCAACAAGAGATTAAGGGTGATCAGTTCCTCAATTTATCAATAGACAACCGAAAATCATGATGGGGTACAAACCATCTTTACCAAACTATAAGAGCGTCCATCGACACACTGAGCCACAACTCCACACTTGCAGCATCCTGGAGAAGCACAAGCTTCTCCCCCACTTGAATCATTCCCACTTCTGCAGACAACGTTAGGAAACAAACATGTACCGATAGTGTTTTCACACACATGTCGCATACAAGGGAACCAACAACATTATACAACTTGGTCGGACGGACCGACCTACTCTGATACCACTAATGTAACACCCTTATTCTACCCCACAGATATTACGGCAAAATAACACGGATTTCAGAGTAAAATATAAACTTTCATTAAAAAGCCACAAAGGGCGTACATTTCTCAAAGTCAAAAAAATTGGTCAATACTCCATAACACACAGGTTTTCTCAAATTACATCAAAACATCATATACAACGGAACTCAAAACATAACTCAATGTTTTCCTCATAAGGGAACATCAGTAAAATAACCAATTGATATACAATCAACTCAAAGAACCCAACCCGATGTTACATATCAGAGCAAGACCCTCTACATTAACCATAAGGCTAACGACTCTAAAACTTCACAATACTCCTCGACAGCGTCCACGACTAAACTTGCTCATCTGCACGTTACCCACGTGGAGGTAACATTCAAACAGGCAGGGTGAGTAAGACAATTCATAAGAATCAATGTATAACAATTAATACATAAACGACATATTACTCATAGTTATATTCAACACATTGATATCCTTCAAATATGCCTCAAAGGCCACAACGTCATAATTTATACACAAAGGCTCATAAATGAAAATGCAACATAGACTCAATGCATGTGATACCAATCATCATAGCGCGATGGACACTGGGCCATCAACCCTTCATAGATCCCCATCAATAGGATCAGAGCACATCAAAATACTTCACATCCACATAGTGGGATTGAAGCAAAAGTAATCGAGGTCCTGAACCGAAGTCCGGATGCACGTGAATGCATGATGCACACTTCACAATAATCCTCATAATAACAGCATATGGTGCATCATCATTCATCATATTCGTCATCATTACATGTCATATCTCATCGTCATATTCATCATTATACAACATATCATCATATTTCATCACATTAATCATCATACAGCATATCATCATAATTCATCATATTATTCATCATACAATATATCATCATAGTCCATCATATTAATTAATCTCACACATCATATCATCATATAATCACGTATAAATCACATATTAGCTCATAGTCATATTATCCCATATTAATTCATAATACTACTCTCATATCATCTCATATTAATTTATCAAATTATACTCACGGTAATCCTCACACTATCGCCTATCAATCACATAAACTTCACAGTTCTACTCATGTTAATTCATCATATCATCACATAGTATTTACATATTAATCCCTAATATCATCTCACATTGCCTTATATTAATTCATCATAATTGCACTCGCGGTAATTCTCATACTAGCACTTATTACTCATGCAACCTCACTGTCATACTCATATTAATTCATCATATTATCACAGTTACCCTCATGGTAATTCATCAGGAAAATCGCAGCATCAAAATGTCAAGACATCACTGAACCAAAACATGATTCATTAATAAGACATATACATAATTGACTTCTCAAACATAATTAGATATAAAAATATTGGGAAACCAATTCCCTTATCTATACTATGCTGTTCATTAGCTTTCCAACGCTTCGAACGGGGGTCAAAACGGACTTACGGATCCAAAGTTATGTCGAAAACAATTTCGACCGAAAACATGAACAGTCGTGACGGACAGAAAGACGCTGTTACGCTCCGGAACTGATTTTTACTCAATTATTCTTACGAATCACTCACTCAACGTACCCAAAATATCACTAAAACATTCCTAAGGTTATACGGCAATAACAACACAACTTCTATGGTTTATTAGGCTCGTCTGACAACATTTGCAACGCCTAAAACACTATTTTCTGCAATTACTCTGAGTACTTCAGAGTTACTCACATTTGAATATTCTTATTCCTACAGAGACAACATGTCACAATTTTTCTTTCAATTACACCCTACGGCATTAAAATTACTTACTATGCAATATTTAATCCCTTCAGGGTCAGACATATAACAATGTCAAGCTTTTGGCCACGAAGGCCTAAGGTTTCCCATAAGATTTCCCACAATTACATATCAGACAGTCAGAAATATTAACCACTAATCCTACGGGTTTTGCCATAGAGGCCTAAGGTTTTCCACAAATTTTATGTTAATATTCAACGATAAATACCATTTGGCCAGAATGCCATCCTCTCGGAATCTTACGATTACTTCCCTATTTCCCATAATTAATTCCAAATCCCTAAACCTTACATCAACCACAAATATACCGAAAATCATACATAGAAAACTATGAAAGGTAATACTCCCCATACCTTAGCCGATTCAAAGCTTTCACGATTAACTCCGACAATTTTCCGAAGCTTTTGCCTCCACTGATCCCTCCTCAGAGCTCTGGCCTCCATTCTTTTCACGATTAACAAAATGAATCCTCAACCTTCAGAATTCTATTTTGTCAAACTTAGACTTGGGTCACACAATTGTGTTTTTCCTATAACACCCTTACTAACTCTTCATAATGCTCAATTTACCCTTATTTCACTTATATTCATTTTAATCAATAATAATACTAATATTCTCATATAGTATACTATTAATTAAATAAATAGTCCAAAAATGCACATTTTCTCAATAATCCACAAAACCACCGAAAACCACCCAAAATACGAATATTCTCAATTAAATAATTAATTAAAATATTCCGCTTAAATTTGGGGTGTTACACTAAAGACTATTTTAAAAGACCAAAAAATGAGGTTAAGACAATGGCCTCACTCGGCTTAGACTCGGGCCAGCCCTGTTCGTTACTACACCATAATAAAAATCCGGCATATTTTCACAAATCCAAACAAGCATATTTATATTGTATTTTTAATTGATTTCTACCATGTTAGGTTTATTAATTATCAGGGTAATGCTAACTTGTGTTCTTGGGGCACAAGTTAAGAATTAAATTAAGAAATATTATCTTGAAAATTGTGTATAAATTTTAATTAAAATATAAAATTAATTTTTAAATTGTTTTTTCCAATACAAATTTTTTAACCTGTGTCGGGGGTATGATCAACTATCAATTTTATGGGAAAATTGTCATTCTTCCCGAGTTAATTTCAAGTCCCCAATCCCGGCATATAATACGGCTTGCATGACTAATCAGGATGATAGGACTAAAATGTTGAAAAAACTAAATGCTACTAGCTTTCTAGCATTATCCCCTCATAATTGAAAGGCCATGCTACTATTAGAATTGAAAGGGTGCAAAGAGGAACTTGAGGTTAATCAAATGTCAATTAAATAAGCTACTATATCATACAGGAGTTTACATATCACAATCAGAGAGAAAACAAAGGTTAATGCAGTATGATACCATACTCTAATGTTACTTGATATTCCACTATTACCTTTTATGTTATATTTCCTGTCAAAATAAAGTATGATCAACATTAGTTAATACCAAGAACCATAATTATTTAAAATTTGATCAAAATAACATATATTTTAAGCTCTGATACTAAATGTAAGTGAAAAAATTTATTGATCAATTATATAAAATTAAAACATCAATACTTGTTAAAATTATTATTCGAAATTTAAAAAAGATTAATGATTGAATCTTTATTTGTATCTCACACTCTAGTTCACAATTCTTAATGTGATAAATTGTGGAGTCCGTTGTGTTTCTGACTTTTGTGATTATCTAATCATATAATATATATAATCTTAATCCCTACTCATTATAGACTCAAGGTTTAAAAACTCGCATTTTTATTCACATCAATCAGATTTCAAATACTTAATTTTTAATTAAAAGATATCATTTAACCAATAAATAAAAATTTATATATGCACCTATATCAAAATCATAATTAATATATTTTTTAGAGACTAAACAACAATTGATTGGAACTAATAAAAAATTAGATAAATCTAAAGTTACAAACTAAAATCAAATAAATCTCATATTAAAGGGCCAAAAACGCTATTAACCCTTTATATAATTAGCATTGATTTATGTCATGCTGGAATTTAAATTCAGATTATTTGTGCATAATTGTGTATTCTAGAAGTAGAAATGAGCCTTATTTCATGCTTAAGTTAGAGAAATGATATTTGAACACAAAATTTTAACATAAAGTTCAACTACAAATTATTTGGTTAATGCAAATACTATATTGTTAACGCAATTCAGTTGACATTATTAAACATAAAAAAGATGTTTCCGTTTATTAACCATATACTCCACATAATTAATTATAATTTTGAACATCAATAACCATAATATAAAATGATTAAAAGGTATATGTGCATATTGAACACTTGAAAATCATGATAATAACAACTCATGAAATTATGTTCATTTGATAGGGAATGAGTCGTAACACCTTAACCTATTCATTAATGATCAACTAAGTCCGTATTCAATTACCAAATAATAGAATATGAATGTAAGAAAGGTTTACGCATTTCTAAAATCCCAATACAGCTTTTTTTTTTCTTTCTGTTTTCATTGTTTCCTATATGAATCTTTGAAAATGGAAGGAAAAAAAAATTAAAAAGTAAGGTGAAACACTCAAATCATTAGTGAATATAGAAAATATTTCAGTCCCTAATCCAACCTGTAATGTTTTCAATTAAGCAAACTAATACAAATTTAAAATGAATTTGGCATTCATTTGGTTATTCGAGTAGGTCTCAGCTCTTCCCTCAAAGCTTCGACTTTGATTTTTTAGATTTTTTCGATTCTTTAGACCAATCAGGAGGAATTATTTTGTATTCTTGGACTGGCTCCGATTCCGTGCTTTCATCTTCACCTAAAATGTCCTTAGAGAACGCATCTGGATTGGCTTTGATGCAGCTCTGCAGAGCAACAAATGGATTTACACAGTCCGAGCCCTACAAAATTGGAGCAATAGCACATTTCAACACTTGATGAAGAATATAGAAATTCAATCACTGAAAATAAAATATTTTACGAACCATAAAACAAAAACAACCTAGAACTGTTTTGTTATCACATTTTATTCTGTTATTTGTATTCTTGTTTGCCAGCAGCACCAGACAACCTCCACCATAACTACTTAGCATCAACTGCTGCTGAATGCTCTCTAGTCTACCACTCTGCACCCTTTCTATTTCTAAAGATGTTCTCAGGTCAAATTTTCCAAACAAGTTTTTCTGTTTTCACATCTCTGAAATCGTTTTTCATATTAAGCTTGCCAAATAGATGATTTTTATTCCAAAAAGAACTTTCTCAATTATTTATAAAACATTTTTCAAATAGAAAAAATAAAGAACTCAAGCAAACATGCCTTTCTGTTGCAAAGATCTAAGAGAGCAAACAAAGTGTAACCAAGGTCGGTCTGCAGTCACGTAACCAAGGTCGGTCTGCAGTCGCGAATCATAACAGAGACCGCTTTGTTAAAAAAAGTATATCTTAAAAACTGTATATTGCGGTTGCACCAACAGTATTCAGTATTTTCAATGGCAGATGGAGGTCCATGGCGGAGAGGCAAAATCCCACCATACCAACAGCATTGTGGTGCCGTCAAAGTGGATTATGACGGGAAAACCCGCAATATCGGCAGATATTTACCATTGCAGCAAGTCCAAAGACCGTCGTTGATATACACTATGGCACCGCTACAGCAGATATTCGATAGCACTGACTGTATTTGACAATAATTTGCCGCAATATCATGAACCGTAGAGTGAATTTCATTTTAAACCTTGGGTGTAACCTATAGTTGAAGAAACACTAAACTACAAACAAAGTATATGCACGAACTCCATTACAATTCATTAATTTCACATCAAACTAAATATGTTAGGTTTTCATCAACTAACAGCCAAATCAGTTTCGCATCATACTTGTACTGTACTTCACCTAGCTCTTCTCTCAGTAAACAAAAACTCAAACTATAAGGTAATGAGGAAAACTAATTTAACTGTAAGCATAAAGCAAAGCATGAAGTACTAGTAAAACATTAGCACACACCTTTTCTTCAGAAGTACTCTTGAGAAAACAAAGGAAAGCCTCTGAGAATTGAAACCCACAAGCACCACTTCTTAGGTCAGCAATACAAGGGCAATCAAGAGCTTTCTGAGCCATTTCCTCAACATTCTGAAAATTCAATAAAATTCCAAATTGTTTTCATTGAATTGTTCATCCACCCAACTTGCTAAATTGATTTTTATTATTAAAATGAAGTCAAACAAACCTCAGTGTTTTGATTTCCATATGCAGCAGCTTCTGAAACAAAATCACGTTGAAATTTCAGCTTGACATTAACACAAACATGTTATGCGCGTGGGTAATGAAACTTGAAAAAACAATCAAAAGAAAAAATCAACCTGCGATTACAGATTCCAGAGAAGTGGGATTAGAGGAATTGGAATCGGAATTTGAAATTGAATCAATTGCGGTTGTGGTGGTTGATTGTGTTTCAGCGCTTTCTGCTTGACCCATCTTTCTGATTCTTGTTTTCCTTAAACATCAAAATTCAAGGTCTTCTTTTAATACTTTTTTTCTTCTTTCGAGGCAATTTCTTCTACTTAGAGCTAAAACCCCTTTCTCAAATAAAAAACACTAAAACCCTTTTTTCTTTCTTTCTATTTTAGTTACTCCCTAAAAAAAATTAAAATTAACCCTTTTTTTTCTAAATTGAAAATTTAATTTCTATAATATAAACAAACATTATTCAAATCAAAACATTAACTAACGGAAAAAATCCCGGTCTAATAGGGTGAGAGTGCGGAAAAATTTTAATTTGTAATTGCAGGTGCGGGAGCGAGGCCGGAAGATACTACTACCCGCCCTGCATCCACTCTGTCCTGTCCGGTCTTATGGTATTTATTTTAATATTCATATTTAAATTATTTTATTACGCGTTTATTTACTTTTGAAAAAATAATTAAAAATTATTATTAGTCAATTTTCATCATTTACTCAAACTCTCATCTTTAGAAACAAATTTATTATTAAAATTGTCAAGTCTTTAACAAAATTATTAGTTTTTATTACTATTTAAAAGAAATCATTTTTTCAGATGGGGCGAGTGAGAGCTTTTCATTAGAGGTGGGTCTGGATGATAAATTCGCACATCGACTGAGTTTGGAGACGAGAGCGGGTCTTTAACAGGGAGGCGGGTGCAAGTGTAGTTAAATTCGCACCCGTCCCACCCCGTTGTCATGCCTACAAAACATTGTCGAAATTGTAGTTTATTCAAAAAAAAATTGTATCTCAAGAATAAATTTTATGATAAATTATTTAAAATAACTTTAAAATTAAGTTATTTTTTAAAATTTTAATATTCAAAAAAAAAATTAATGATAAAATCTTAAATAACATTTAAAAATAACTATTCAAATCAATTTTTTATGAAAATTTTTTTTATAGTTTTTTTAGATAAAATTATATTACAGTATAAAAATTATTGTTTAAAAACAATGGACCCTTAATCACTACAATTAATTTTCCTAGCTTCACATATACGATTTATCATAAATAAAATTATATATGATATTAGTCTTAATAAATTTGGGATCTTATAAATTTAATTGTTGTTTATAAAAGAAAAAATAATTACTCATATACTCATTTTATACTATGAAATTTTGGGTCGAACTTTAACTCTAGCGAGGAATAACTTTCATGTGTTTCGACTGGAGAGAACCATAAAGTGGAAGTCGGGTCGCATGTTGTGGTCGTAGGATACATATTGTAGTTGAAGTCTGTTCTAATATATATTGTCAAAAATTTTGTTGAATTAGGTCTTGTGTTAAGGACTCAATTGTTTAGTTAGCTTGTATTGTAAGTTAGATAGTTAGTCTATAAATAGGTTAGATTATCCAGGTTGTTGAGTGAGGTCAATTGTGATATTCATTTGTAATCATTTTTGAACCCTTATGGAAGTGAATAGTAAACAATTTGCTCTAATTCTTCTTCTTCTTTCTCTCTTTGTTCTAACCGTTTTTCATTGTTCATCCCAAAACTTCGTTTCTCAATCTTTATTTGTTGAAAGATATCGTTTGTGATCACAACATGTATTTATTTTATTCTTGTAAATAAATATTAATGATATAAGAAATGGATATGATGAGAGTGACAATTGTTCAATGCACATTAAGGTGGTACTTACGTACTTGAAATTATACTTTAGAAGGCGTCCAAAAGTTTATACCACAACATTTTGTAAGTGAGTTACCCTCATTTTAACATAAATTAATTTGAAAGTGCATCTCGTACTAATGGAATGGTGAATTTGTATCCTTTCGTAAAACCTATGGAAATATAGCTCCATACATGTTTTGAGTTATATTATTGCAACAAACCATCGGTTTTCTTTCTTCACTTTAAAACTTACTTTAAAGCAAAAAAAAATCGTGAGCAAACCTTGTTTCCGTCATTTTTCAATCTTTCTCGCAACTTCTACTATATTGCATTTAATTTTGGGAAATCACTCAATCTTTACTCCACTTCATTCAATTCAAGAGCTTTCACTTATTGCATTTAGTATGTTTTTCCGTTTCTTTCCTTTTTTTTATTTTTATAATGCACACATTGCTTAAATAGGTTGTATAAGGTACATTAGATTGTAGTTACACTTATAACACATAGTTTATTGAGGCATGTGTCGGCATATTTTGATGTTTATAGCATATGACATGTTGGATTTCTACGTTTTCTGTCATTTCTGAGTTTCATGTGTTACGGAAGTGCACTTCTGTATTTTTTTTCTGAATTTCATTTTCCTGAGTTGTGTATGTGTACTTCTGTATCTTTCAGCATCTCTTAAGTTTGTTTGATTTTGCATGTCCGTCATCTAGGCTTGAGTTCTTTGATTATGATAAAAAAAAAAGTTTCTGGTTTAGTTATAGGTAAAATGGGTGACAACCAAGATAGATTGGGGTACGGTAGAGTGTCCCAACACGCATTTGTTCGCAGGAAGAGAGCTACACCCTCGCGGCTAATTGTTGCTTCTAGTTCATTTGATGCATGAGGGTTGTCTTCCCGAGTCCAAATGTCTCCGACGTCATATTTTCTGAGGCATGTATTATCTATTGTTGCCCCTAAAACCCCTGAAATTCATTTTGATCATCTTGTTGGTTTTAACGATGAACGTCAAGGATATCACGAGACAGATTCATGCAAAAAATTTATATTTTGAGATTTTGACAATGAACGTTAAGGATCATCGAATTAAAAAGATAATGTAGTAAAGTAAATGGATAACAAAGAAAATATTAACTTTATAAATGGAATGCAAGCACATACATTGAAAACTCGTTTCTCACTTTCACAGTTGGATACTTTGAGTGTGTAATGTGTAAAATTATGGACCTTTAAAACTATAAACGAACATCGCTTATTTACTAGTCCTAACATAATCGTCTACAATGCTCGACTCAACAAAACTTGACACGTCTTCGTCTTCGTGCATCTTCATCCTCGATATGCTTCCCACGTGTCCTCAAATAACTGGATGATCTTATCCAACTTTCTTCGATAAAAACATGAAAGTCACATCAACTAACAACCCCAAATATCACTAAGTTTTTTATTTTGTCAAGGGTCTTCAAAGGAATTTTCGACCAGCTTCCCAACCCTCTTCGACGAGGAATTCTCCTTAAATGAATGTGTGGTCTTTTGGTCGAAAACGCCTACCTCAATTATGGGTACAAACCTTAAATTTCCACTATAGCCATATTCGACCCTGAATCCTCACATTTATGACATGTGCCGAAAATATGAGGTAACAAATTGCCCCCAAAAATTTAATTTTTCGACCATACGAATGTCGAAAGGGAGAAATGTGGCATTTTTGAACGCTTTTCGATATTGTTTAGACCACTTTGCTAACGTCAGTGTCATCATTGCTCATTTTCACAAACGTCTGCTCAACATGGTTTTTTGCAACAAAACCATCATGACTCCCACTTCCTATGAGAGTGGGAAGTTACTTATGTAGCCCACTAACTCTTCCACTTCTTAAAGAGGAACCGTCTCCAATTGTCACGCGAATGCCATTTGTCGGACAGTCTCCCATCACCAACTTATATAAGGTTTCTTAAAAAATGTCAAATTTATAACAAACTTACTACTTAGGACGGAAACTAATTGTCTTGAGGATTATTCCGAAAGTATACTTCTGAATTATTCCATGAGTTAAATAAATACACTACCATGACTTCAGGATGTTTCTTAGGATAGTTACAGAATAATATATACTTATACCTATCATTCCATCGGTACGAAGATACTATTCCAGACAATTTTTTAATAAAATGGAAATTAGTGACTCACTTGAAAAAAAATATAGTATATTTTGAATGCATACAAAAATATACTTCTAAACTTGATAACGGAAATTTTGGGTCTAAGAATGATGTCTCTTTACTATTAAGGGTGTAAAGAGCAATCTTCAATACCTATTTGTTAAAAAAATTAACTTCAAAAGTGTTTTGAATTGTTAAAAAAATTAACTTCAAAAGTGTTTTGGATTGTTAAAAAAATTAACTTCAAAAGTGTTTCGGATTGAGCATTTGTCCACTGAGTTGGCCCAATCCACATGAATTTAGTCTTTCTAAAGATTTTCTAGGATCACCTTTAAGTATCATCGTCGCACAATAGCATGCAATTCTTTCAATTGGATCTTCTTAATGGTCACTCGCGTTAAACAATATAGTGACAATTACAACGGTCTCATATATATATATATATATATATATATATATATATATATATATATATATATATATATATATATATATATATATATATATATATATATATATATATATATATATATATATATATATATATATATATATATATATATATATATATATATATATATATAATTAAGGTGTTAAATTTAATATTATAACACATTTAACAATAGTTTACTTTATATTTGTATAACAAAATTTATTGTTTGATTGAAAGCTATTATCATATAAATCATGTTTATAAAATTTAATATCAATAAAAAAATTATTTGATATGGGTGAGATTGGATCAAATTAATTGTTTTGATGAAATTCCGTATGACTTTTGTTTTTATGCATTGACATGTCAATTAATTTAGGAATTACAATAGATATTAAATTTTACAAACATAATTTATATAATAATAGATTTTAATTCAACGTATTATACGGATATGCAGTAAAAAATTATAAATTTTTTCATATTTTAAGTTTTATACTTCAATGTTATTTAATTTTGATTATATATATATATATATATATATATATATATATATATATATATATATATATATATATATATATATATATATATATATATATATATATATATATATATGCGTTTGTGATAGGGATTTTTATCACGACTTAAAGTTGGGCTGAATTGTGTTAGGTTGAATTAGTTTTGTTAAGAAGATTTTATCCCATACCCCTACAATTTAAAAAAAAATACCAATTTTATCCATGTATATTTTTTAT